AAATAATTGTTCTGATTTCCTCCACAGGGCAGCTCTGTGGACATACGCGTCTAAGGCCCTCACCGGGCAGAGCAGATTTAGTTTCTCCTGGTCTGGTGTCCGAAACGGAGGAGGACAGAAGGCCTGTAGCACTATAGGTTTGACAACCGTAGTTGGAACCTTCGGAACATACCCCGGTCTAGGGAGGATGAAAGCCTTCGCCATACCGGGAGCAAATTCCAAGCACGAGGGGGAAACCGACAGCGCCTGAATATCTCCAATCCTCTTTAGGGAAGAGATGGCTAGGAGAAAGATGGTTTTGAGAGTAACAAACTTCTCAGGCACCTCATCAATGGGCTCGAAAGGGGCTAAACAGAGCCCCTCCAACACAACCGCTAGATACCAGGTCGGTACCCTCGTACGCACTACCGGCCTCAGCCTCAGGATACCACGAAGGAAACGGGTTACCAAGGTATGTCTCCCAAGAGAAGCTCCACTCAAAGGAACATGGTAAGCGGATAGGGCCGCCACGTACACCTTTAGTGTGGAGTACGATAACCCTGTGGAGAAGCGTTCCTGAAGGAATTCCAGCACTGCCGACAACGGGCAGTTAAAGGGTTAGTTCACCCAAAAATGAAAATTCTGTCAGTATTTACTCACCCTCATGTTGTTTCAACCCCGTAAGACCTTCGTTCATCTTCGGAACACAAATTAAGATATTTAAGATATTAAGATCGCTCCTGCATACAGTCCATAGGCTTCTTGAGGTACTGGCTCTTGCTGTCCCCGAAAAGTCATTAAAGACATCGTTAAAATAGTCCAAGTGACTACAGGGGCTCAATCTTAAGTTTATCAAACGACGAGAACACTTTTGTGCGCAAAAAAACAACAAATTAACGACTTTATTTCAACTATTCACTTCCTTCTCCATGAGCCTGTAAGTCAGTTAACGTAGTGTGATTGCGTAGAGCTACGTCACACGTAGGCTCACTATTGGCCGACGCTGGTCATGTGTGTGTGATGCGTGTGACGTACAATAACAGAAGCTTACGCTATTAACTAGTAACCTAACTCGCGCAGAGGGAGAAATAAACGAATAGTTGAAATAAAGTCGTTATTTTTGTTGTTTTTTTGCCCACAAAAGTGTTCTCGTCGTTTGATAAACTTAAGATTGAGCCCCTGTAGTCACTTGGACTATTTTAACGATGTCTTTAATGACTTTTCGAGGACAGCAAGAGCCAGTCCCTCAAGAAGCCTATGGACTGTATGCAGGAGCGATGTTAATATCTTAAATATCTTAATTTGTGTTCTGAAGATGAACGAAGGTCTTACGGGGTTGGAACAACATGAGGGTGAGTAAATACTGACAGAATTTTCATTTTTGGGTGAACTAACCCTTTAACTGGATCCAACTGTCGCTCTCCACACCAAGAGGTGAACAGTTTCCACCTCAAGGCATACAACTTCCTCGTGGATGGGGCTCTGGACTGGAGGATGGTCTCCACGACCTCAGTCGAGAGACCTGAATCTATGAGCTGGGCCCCCTCAGAGGCCAAGCCCACAACCTCCACAGTTCCACAAACATAAGAGCCACAATCTTTTTTTCCATCAATTCTATACAAATAACCTACATTATTTAACCAACAGTCGCCTTTGGCTTGTTCCCTGGGGACATAACAAAAATAATAATGCATAGCTCTTCTAATGAAGCTTTAAATTAAGTACTAAATATTGACTTTTACTACATTTTCACTGATATATTTTATTTGTAAAACTGCTTTAAAACAATGTGCATTGTGAAATCAATTTGACTTTGACCTAATTTCATTGTATTAGTACTTAAGCTACTAATGTTTTTTTTTTTTTTTTTTTTTTTTTTATAAATAAGTTTTAATCAATATCATAGAAATGCACATTAAACCAGAACAGTTATTGATTATGCAAAGCATGTATGTATTATGCTCAACAAGGTGCAATACTGTCAACACAAACTGTTTCTGTCTTTATTTTAGGTGCGCCCTCAGTGGACCCATCCCATCCAGATTATGTTCCATCAATTTTCGCTCATAAAAAGACCATTGATGGTTCACAGAAGTTGGAGCGTTACCAGAGGAGACAGAGGAGACCATCAGTGGTTGAGTCTATATATTCACCTTCCTTTGAGGTCACCCATGCTGACCCTGAAGAAGGATGCACTGCTGTGGGTACAGATCTGTCAATGGCAGACATTGACCAGCTACAAAATGAAAACATTGAATTAAAAAGAAAAATGGCTTCACTGGAGATGAAACTGGAATGTCAAGAAAAATGACTACAGGATCATAATGTTTGGCAGTCTGTCTGATTTTATTTTAAATGATGGCACATTCATTTTTACACTGGTCTACCATCTGCTTCTGTGTTGTTCACCCTCCTCACTTACCTGACAACAATATGGAACGCATCAACCATACTTACCCTTCCCGAGCAGTTTCTTGTGGTCCTGATGAAGCTTCGTCTAGGCTGAACTCATCAAGACCTCGCTTTTCGCTTCAGAGTGAGTTGTGGAACTGTCTCAAACATCTTTCATGAATGGCTCGATGTAATGGCAAAAGAGTTGCAATACCTTGTCCGGTGGCCATCCAGGAAAGATATCAGAAGAAATCTCCCCACCCTCTTCAAGACTACTTGTTTCCAACAAGTTAGATGTATAATAGACTGTACTGAAGTGTTCATTGAGAGGCCAACTAGTTTGCAAACACGGGCAGTCACATACTCCCACTATAAATCACATAATACTGCGAAGTTCCTTGTTGGTATTAGTCCAACAGGAGCTATTACATTTTTTATCAAAAGTCTGGGGTGGTCGTACTAGTGACAAGGTTATAACAAAAAAAAGAGCCATAGGAAAACTGAAGTCATTCAGAATTCTGCGGAACACCCTGCCAGTCAGTATGGTCAAACGGAGAAATGATAACAGTCTTTGCACAATAGATAAAATTGTAATTGTTTGTGCAGCACTTTCAAAACTGGAGAAACCACTCGTACCAAAATAAAGCAGGACTCAACCACAACTTACAGTGATAGTTCACCAAAAAAAAAAAAAAAAAAAAAAAAAACCCATGTCGTTCCAAACCTGCAAGACCTTTGTTCATCTTCGGAACATCTATCATCTTAATTTGACACTTTTACCTACAGGATTACTTTTTTTATTATTAAATGTATTAAAATACCAAACACATGCATAATGATGTTTGTAGTGTTGCACTTGTATCACAATGTTTCACATGGATTGTAATTATAAAATGAAATGATTTATTCAGTAATGAACACCAACAACTATTGATTAACTGATTTATTGACTGATGAATAAAGTTCTGTAGACTACGATTACCGTTTTTAATTATGTATTTGATGTAAAAAGTGAAAAAGCTTGTGCTCAAAAGCCAGGAACAACCCATGCCTTAAGAAAAAATAACAATTTTTACTACTTAACTATTAAGCTGCTTTTGAGACAATTTTCATGTAGCTGTCACTCAACTGCAGTCTTCCCTCGACAAATGCATCTACAACTTTTGGCAGCATGTGTTTAAAGTAAAAGCTACGTAACCTTTGGATATATGTGGAGACAAAACCACTGTCATAAGGCACATCAAGTTCCAGGTGCTGTACTGGGGTCTAAATAACAAGGCTACCTGACTCAGAGGCTGTGTCTGTCTCACTGCTGTCACACATGACCGAAAAGAGAGCACAGTCTGGCACAACTTCCTAAAATACTGTAAATGGTGAAAAGACCTTACCTACACTGCCATATACAGTAAATATATATATAAATAGTAATTTTTTACATTAGACTAGTTGATTTGTTAGAGATACACTACCGGTCAAAAGTTATAGATCGGTAAGATTTTTATGTTTTTAAAAGAAGTCTCCTCTGCTCACCAGTGGCCTCATTTATAAAACTTTGCGTAGGATTTGCGTCAGAAGTGGCGTATGGATGAAACATAGGACGTGCGTACGCACAGAAATATTCGGATTTATAAAACCGTGCGCACGCACATCCTACACATTTTTCCCATAATAAATCACAATCAATTCTAAATGTAGCGCAGCTTTTGCGGCTTCGTGTCACGCCCATAGTTGCCCATAAATAGTCAGTAAAACGCCCACAAGTTAATAAGATTGCGAAATAAGGCCAAACACAGAGAGGAAATCAAAAAAACGTAACTTCACTCAATGTGAACTAGAAGTTATCGTTGGCGAGGTGGAAAAGAGGAGAAAAATGTTGTTTGGAGGGCACAGTGTGGGCATAACTAATGCCAAAAAGGCACTTGAGTGGCAAAAGGTTGCAGACGCTGTAAATGTAGCTTCACAACCTCGGATTGTGGCCGAAATAAAAAAGAAATGGTCAGACATCAAAGTCGAGGCAAAAAAGCATCTAGCATTCCATCGCCAGAGTGTGTCTGCCACGGGTGGGGGAAAGGAGACACCGGAGCCCTGCTGAAAAATCCAGCTAAAACCAGCCTAGGCTGGTTGGCTGGTCTTAGCTGGTTTAAGCTGGAAGTAGCTGGTTTTAGTTGGTCACCCAGCCTGGCTTAGCTGGTCAAGCTGGCCTCCCAGCCTGACTTAGCTGGTTAAGCTGGTCTCCCAGCCTGGCTACCAACTTGACCAGCTAAGACCAGCCTGACCAGCTGAAAAAGTGTTCAAAACCCCTCTAAAACCAGCCTGATAAACCAACTAACCAGGCTGGGAGACCAGCCAAAACCAGCCAACCAGCCTTGGCTGGTTTTAGCTGGATTTTTCAGCAGGGAGCTGACCCCTCTTGATGAGAGACTGGCGGCAATTATTGGGGAATCCCTTTTAAGTGGAGTGGTGACTGAGGCGGAGGGGGACACTGACGCGCCAGATGCACCAGATGACACAGGTAAGTGAAATAAGTAAAATGAATGCAGTCAAGTCACATGTATGTAGGCTACACGATTACAGTTTATTCATATAGAACAATGTTTAATTCAGTCGCTGGGTCTTGTAGCTGGGCCAGTGTTTCAGAGGCTGCAGCTGAGCAGCCGTCTGTGCCCAGCGTCTCCACGGCACGCGGCTCTCAACCCTCCAGCAGCGGACGTGTCCTCACCGATGCAGTCCTTGAAATGCAGAGGGAACTCATTAACTCAGTCAGAGAGGTGGCAAAGGAGTTGGGCGACATCAAGACTGTCCTAACTGAAATAAACAGCACAATGAGGGAATTCTTGAATAAATAATATATTTTTTCCACACCTTTTGTTGTTCTTTACAACCGACACATCACTTCCAATCGCTGGCGCACAGCAGCAGCATCAGGATATCCACTGTCCCCTGCAAGGATAATGAAAGGGTTAAGACATTGAAGTACAGTAAAATGTGAAATGTCTAGTAATCAAACGTACCTAGAAGCCAGCCATCACGCACAGCACCAGCCTCGAGTCTGCGCCCATCACTGCTGTGTCTTAAAATGAATGAGTCATGGGTTGACCCAGGCCACCGAGCTACTACATTAGTGAGCAACATGTCTGCATCACAAATAATTTGGACATTGATCGAATGGAAATGCTTTCGATTAATTCTATAGGCCTGAGTTGAAGTCAGCATCACAATGTTTCTGGAAAGTGGCTTTATATACTGTGGGGCCAAAAACTATTTAGTCAGCCACTGATTGTGCAAGTTCTCCTACTTAGAATGTTGAGAGAGGTCTGTAATTTTCATCACAGGAACACTTCAACTATGAGAGACAAAATGAGAAAACGTTTGAGATCTGTCATTGCCAACAAAGGTTATGTTACAAAGTATTGAGTTGAACTTTTGTTGTTGACCAAATACTTTTTTTCCACCATAATTTACAAATAAATTCTTTAAAAATCCTACAATGTGATTTCCTGGATTTTTTTTTTTCTCATTTTGTCTCTCATAGTTGAATTGTTCCTATGATGAAAATTACAGACCTCTATCATTATTCTAACTAGGAGAACTTGCACAATCAGTGGCTGACTAAATACTTTTTGGCCCCACTGTAGATATATTATTCACGTGTGTGTGTGTGTGTGTGTTTGTGTTTATTTATCTCACTGTTGTAAATCTGACTGATATTGTCATGTTCCCTTTCGTAGTCACTTCGAGTTACGTCAGAAGTGACGGAGATTGGGCGTTTCGCATAGAAAGCCAATCCTCTTCGAGTATTTAAAAACGAGCCAATGGCGTGCAATGCCTTGGGGCTGCGGAAATTTGCATAGCGTACTCCGCCCTACTCCGTGAGTATAAAAGGAGGAAGTGAACGCAACCGCAGTATGTTTTCGCTTCGGAGCCAAGAGAACCTCTTCACTCCTGAAAGCCATTCTCACTGTTCAAGACTCTTCGAGACGAGCGTCCTCTTCAGTGTTGGTGTGACGGCGGTACCCAGCGAGATTCTGCATCGCCTGTGATCTGAGCAGTGGTCTGCCAGACTTTGCGCTTCTCCCTGGTCGCCTCAGCGCTGAAAAGAGTGAATTTCCTCCTCTCATTGAAAGAGCTGCACGTGGCACGTCTTTTTAAAGATGGTTCGCCCGTGTTCTTCTGGGTGTGGTCGATTTCTGTCATCATCTGATGGTCACGATCGCTGCTTTGTATGCCTGGGCATTCAGCATGCAGCAGCGTGGATGACTCATGTTCCTTCTGTGGGAATATGACCATCTCTACACTGAGGTCGAGACTCAATGATCTGACTAAAGTGAGAGTCCCGGTCCCCCCTACTCGATCGGCTTCCCTCAAGGGGGCCCGTCGACCCGGGAACCTGGTGATTTCACGGTGACGGTGTGGAACAAAGCCCCGACGATTTCTCGGGCCACACCTCCCTCCTCAGTGCGAGAGCCAGCGAACGTTAGTTCGATTCAGTCGGCTGCTTCTTCAGTGGTACCGGCTGTTTCGGGCAGCGCTCCAGATGATGATGCGATGTCGATCACAGCATCACTAGGCGGGCTAGAGTCCTCGGGAAATGAGGATGCGGCTGCGTTGCCTCCTTCGGGAGTGCCAGCGTTGCCCGTGTCGGATCCCGAGCTGACGGCCATGCTGTCTCGAGCCGCTGGGACTATCGGGTTAGAGTGGAACCCTCCGCCCTGCCCCGATCTCTCACGGATGGATGATTGGTTTTTGGACAAAGGTGCCGCCGCAAGGCCACGGCCAACTCCATTGCCCCGAGCTGCATGTGGCGTTATCGCGCTCTTGGAGGGCTCCCCTGTCCACTCGAGAGCGCGATCTCTCCCCCGCCTTTCCCCCCCTCGATGGTGGGGCCGCCCGTGGGTGCACTGGGATGCCCCCGGTGGAGCGCTCTGTTGCGATGCAGCTGTGTCCACAGGGCGCCTCCTCCCGTGGTCCTCCTAAGCACCCATCCAAAGCCTGTAGGTTCTCGTCTGCTATGGCGGCGCGTTCCTATAGAGCGGCGGGACAGGCGGCCTCCGCTTTGCATGCGATGAGCACTTTGCAGGTCTTCCAAGCGAAGCTGCTCAGAGATATGCACGAGGGCGGGACTGATCCAACGGCATTCAAAGATTTGCGGTCCGCCACTGACTTTGCTCTCCGGGCGACGAAAGTGGCCACTCGCGCCGTTGGTCAGGTGATGGCCACCAGTGTGGTCCAGGAGCGTCATCTCTGGCTCAGCCTGGCAGACACTCGGAGCGCTGAGCGGACTCATCTGCTCGACGCCCCACTCTCCCAGGTTGGTCTTTTCGGCGGTGCAGTCGAGGACTTTGCCCAGCAGTTCTCCACAGCCCAGAAGCAGACAGAGGCCATCAAACATATTTTGCCCCGGCGACCAGCTGCTGCCTCCACCGAGTCGTCGGCACAGATGCCTCCCGCTGCTCGCCGCCGAGGACACCCCCCGCGGCTCCCCTCCCTCCCGCCCGGCCCCAGCAGCAGCCTTCATCCGGGCCACGGCGTGGAGGAGGCCGCAGGCAGGCGTCACGGCCCCCTCAGGCCGCACGCCCCGCTAAACGCCAGGCTAAGCGACGTTCCTGACACAGGCTGCTCAGTGATGAAGTTGAGTTTTTCCCAGGAGGCGGTAGCAGGCCCTCTCCTTCCCCCGGTGGAGGGCCGGGGGAGAATATTTTGTTCTCAGCTCCCCGCTGCTCACCCACAGGTGGGCAGCACCCTGAGTTGGTTAAAGAAAGACTTGACATCGTCACTGAGCACAAAGACTGGATTGGGTGCGCTCGACGTCCCAGTGCGTCAGCCCACTCATTCCTCTCTGTCTCTGAGGGCACGGAAGGGTGCGTGTGTCGTCCCCGGGCTACGCCCCTCCCTTCCCCCTCTATCGCCAGACCCCCAGCAGAACAGACCCCCGTGGAACGCTCTGCCTTCCCTGGTCTCTTCTGTCAGGGAGCGGGCTTCGACGGTGCATCCGGGCGGGGTAACTCCTGCGCGCATGCCGGTCGACCCGCCTCGCTGCCCTTCCGGGGGGACGTCTGTGGCTCGGATGACCCCGCTGGTTCACTTTCTGGAAGCCTGGCTAGAGCTGCCCGGGCTGTCCCGCTGGGTCATGAGAACGATCAGATTCGGCTACGCGATTCAGTTCGCACGGTCTCCTCCCCGTTTTGGGGGAGTTCGCTCCACGATGGTCGGTGGCAATGCCCCGGTCATGAGAGCGGAGATTGCGTCCCTGCTGGTGAAGGGTGCAATCGAGACGGTCCCTCCAGCCGAGATGAGGTCCGGGTTTTACAGCCCCTACTTCATTGTCCCCAAAAAGACCGGTGGGTTACGACCGATCCTGGACCTGCGCATTTTGAACCATTCTCTCCATTGACTACCATTCAAAATGCTCACAGCCAAACGCATTCTCGAATGCGTTCGGTTTCAGGATTGGTTTGCAGCGATCGACCTGAAGGACGCGTACTTTCATGTCTCCATTTTGCCTCGACACAGACCGTTTCTTCGGTTTGCTTTCGAGGGCCAGGCATATCAGTACACGGTTCTCCCATTCGGGTTAGCTCTGTCCCCTCGCGTCTTCACGAAGATCGTCGAGGCAGCCCTTGTTCCCCTTCGCGAGCACGGGGTTCGCATCCTGAACTATCTCGACGACTGGCTGATACTGGCACACTCTCGAGCTCAGGTTTGCGAACACAGAGACCTGGTGCTCCGGCACCTAGCCCGTCTGGGCCTTCGGGTCAACCGGGAAAAGAGCAAACTTTGCCCCGTGCAGAGGATCTCTTTTCTCGGCATGGAGATAGACTCGGTCGCCATGTACGCTCAGCTCACGAACGAGCGCGCACTCACTGCTGACTTGTCTTCGACAGTTCGAGGGCAAGAGTGCGGTTCCACTGAAACTATTTCAGAGGCTCCTGGGTAGGGTTGGGAACCGAGAACCGGTTCTTTTCCAGAACCGGTTGTGTTTTTGAAAAAATACCGGAACCGTGCAAAGTTCCTAAGTTTCGGTTCCGAAAACGGTTCTGATGCCGATGCGATATCATCATGTGGGCGAAGTGCTGGGAGTAGAAGACGCCGTCTTATTCCTGAATGACAAAAACTTCACCACTGAAGTTGCAATTTGCTCTCACACGCGCTGCATTTGTCACACACAGACACACGCGCGCTACGCGTGCCGACCGCCGAGTCACTCTCTAGCCTACATTCAAATCAGTTTGCGCTGAGAGAGAGAGCAGTTGCACAACAGTCTCAATATTTATTTGTTTCACATATTCAAATGATTTCCGTTACAGAATTAGTGAGATTATATAGTTTGACTAAACATTGGAGGTAGTGGTTAAAACAGATGCAGTCCGTATATTTTTTGTGTTCAGAATTTACAAAATATATACAATGAGCGAGTGCATCATAATGTTTTTTTCCAAACCGTGTTTTTGTCTTATCTTGAATCACTACGTAAAGCCTGTAATAAGCGTTAATACTCGGACTTGTTTAGACTTGCCGGCGGATCGCAGCCGCTGCGGAGTAGCCCAATGCCTGCGTGACTCGTCATGGGCATAAACAGAGAGAAGTAGCTCCGGCAACAATGTTCTTCCGCAAGACGCATGCAGTTCTGTTTATTAACTGCTAGAGCATCGATTTATCCAGTAATGAAATAAGTAAAGTCTTTATGAATCAATCATTCAAACCGTTTTAAAAAATAATCTGTTCTACACACATCTTACATGTGTGTTAAAGCATATTCTACTCCTTCTGAGAGGGTATTCTTCACTGTTGGAGATACAATGAAGGAGAGGTCCTAAATTATTATAGACAATGCAGAATTTTTTCATTTCCTTTATATATATATATATATATATATATATATATATATATTTTTTTTTTTTTTTTGCAAAGATTGCTTAATAATATTTTGAGTTTGTTTACATTACCAGTCTGTTAAACTAATTTGTCAAGTACTATAAGAAATAAACACAAAAAGGATTGTGGATTTTTCTCTCACTAATATTTTTAATTGAATGGGAACCGGAACCGGAACCGGAATCGTTTGGTGGAACCGGAATCGGAACCGGAACCGGAAAATTTCTCACGATTCCCAACCCTACTCCTGGGGCATATGGCATCCGCGATCGAGCGTTGCTCACGGGCCAGCATGTGCTTGTCCGTTCAGACAACACTACGGCAGTAGCGTACATCAACCACCAGGGGGGTCTACGCTCACGCCGGTTGTCGCAGCTCGCCCGCCACCTCTTGTTATGGAGTCAGAAGCACCTGAGGTTCCTTCGTGCAGTATACATTCCTGGAGACCGGAACCTGGCAGCCGACGAACTGTCACGGGTCCGTCCTATCTCCAGCGAATGGCGACTCCATCCCCAGTCGGTCCAGCTGATTTGGGACCAGTTCGGGGAGGCACAGATAGATCTGTTCGCCTCTCGGGACTCATCCCACTGCGCCCAGTTTTATTCCCTGACCGGGGGTACGCTCGGCTCAGATGCACTGGCGCACAGCTGGCCACGGGGCCCACGCAAGTATGCGTTTCCCCCAGTGAGCCTCCTTGCACGGGTGTTGTGCAAGATCAAGGAGGACGAGGAGCAGGTCTTGCTGGTAGCCCCCTATTGGCCCACCAAGACGTGGTTCTCCGAACTCATGCTCCTCGCGACAGCACCTCCTTGGCCAATTCCTCTGAGACAGGACCTACTCTCTCAGAGACGGGGCACTCTGTGGCACCCTCGTCCCGATCTTTGGAGGCTGCACGTGTGGCTCCTGGACGGGACGAGGCAGGTTTGAGTTTGCTGCCACCTGCGGTGGCGGCAACCATCACTTCCCCAAGAGCGTCGTCCACGAGACACCTTTATGCGTTGAAGTGGAACCTCTTCGTCAATTGGTGTTCTTCTCGCGGAGAAGACCCCCGGAGATGTTCGATCACGGTCGTGCTTTCCTTCCTGCAAGGAGGGTTGGAGCGCAGGCTGTCGCCCTCCACCCTTAAGGTTTACATCGCGGCCATTGCCGCTTCTCATGAAGCAGTGGAAGGTAAGTCCATAGGGAAGCACGACCTGGTCATCAGGTTCCTGAGGGGAGCGAGGAGGCTACATCCGCCTCGTCCTCCCCTCGTACCCTCTTGGGACCTCTCGGTAGTTTTAAGTGCACTGCAGAGTCGGTAGAGTTAGAGTTTCTGTCCATGAAGACAGCACTCCTGGTTGCATTGGCCTCCATCAAGAGGGTGGGGGACCTGCACGCATTCTCCGTTGACGAAGCGTGCCTGGAGTTCGGGCCGGCTTACTCTCACGTAATCCTGAGACCCCGGCCTGGATATGTGCCCAAGGTTCCCACCACTCCCTTCCGGGACCAGGTGGTGAACCTGCAAGTGCTGCCCCTGGAGGAGGCAGACCCAGCCTTGGCACTGCTCTGTCCGGTACGTGCTCTCTGCACCTATGTCGACAGAACGCGGTGTTTCAGGACCTCAGACCAGCTCTTTGTCTGTCATGGGGGGAGCCAGAAGGGAAGGGCTCTCTCAAACCAACAGCTGTCCCACTGGATAGTGGACGCCATTGCTTTGTCTTACCACCAGCAAGGCCGTCCGTGCCCCCTTGGTGTGACGGCCCATTCCACTCGGAGTGTGGCCTCCTCTTGGGCTCTAGCGCACGGCGCCTCGCTAACAGACATCTGCAGAGCTGCAGGCTGGGCGACACCCAACACCTTCGCCAGATTCTATAATCTGCGAATTGAGCCGGTGTCCTCTCACGTACTCGCTTCCGCCAGTACTGGACCCGCTCAGGTGTCTTCGCTTGCTCGCCACTCCACTCCCCAGACTGGATAAGTGCGATATTTCCTCAGTTCTTCCATTGAAGTCTTGAGTCCTCCAGCACCGACAATGCGGGCACCACTGCTGTTGCTCTGGATGCTGGCTAGGTGCCTCCATGCGCACGGTTCCCCATAGTAACCGTCTCATGTGTATTTTCCACTGTAAGCCTCTCTGAGCATGTGTCTTCCCTTGGCAATCCATCTGCCACCTTTGGAGTTAAATTTTAGTAGCCACCTCGGTTGGTGCTCCAGTGTTTCCATATGCGTTCCTATGCGGCCATATGTGTATTTGTAAGTCCTCCCCTTGGTAGGCAGCTGGTAGCATGTCCCTCCCGGGATATGTTTCCCAGTGTACCTTGGTAATCCTGTGTTAAAGTGGAATCCCTAAAAAAAAAAAAAAAAGAGGGGTCCAGACTTTCGCAGGGCACTGGTAGACAGCTTGAAGATGGCGTGATGGCACAGACCCCCAATCTCCGTCACTTCTGACGTAACTCGAAGTGACTACGAAAGGGAACGTCTCGGTTACGGATGTAACCCTCGTTCCCTGAGTAGGGAACGGAGACGTTACGTCTCCCTGCCACTTCTGCTGTATCGCTGGGTAGACACCGAGTTCAATCTTGGCTCCTCAGCGAAGACATACTGCGGTTGCGTTCACTTCCTCCTTTTATACTCACGGAGTAGGGCGGAGTACGCTATGCAAATTTCCGCAGCCCCAAGGCATTGCACGCCATTGGCTCGTTTTTAAATACTCGAAGAGGATTGGCTTTCTATGCGAAACCCCCAATCTCCGTCACTTCTGACGTAACGTCTCCGTTCCCTACTCAGGGAACGAGGGTTACATCCGTAACCGAGACGTTTTACATATAGCACGTCCCATGTGTTCCTTGTACTGAAAGAGAGTTGAGTTGACTAAAAGAAATGTTTGTGTTGGGAAATATATTCTACTGTTAAAAAAAGGTTCACTTGAGATGCCTGTTTCTTTGAAATCATTTTGAATTGGCCTACATCAATTTATCACATTAAAAATGCAATGAAACATTGAAATTGTACTATGTCATACGGTAAAACAAAATATGTCATATGGTAAAACATTGAATTTTAAAAGAAATAAAAATAGATAGTTTGTTTGTTTACAGGGTTCATGAAAATAATGGAGAGCTAGTATGATATTCATATATATATATAACTTCAAGGCATTTTTGACTAATTTCTTGCAAAAAAAATAGAACAAATGTCCATAGATGACATGCTGTGGTTGTTAAAAAACAAAATATCTAGTATTTGTCGTGTAGGTGGTTATATTTTGCAACTTGTTATATAATACTTACAGATCAACTATCACATGGTTGTTTTTAACTGTCATGAATATCAAATTTAATTTATTCCTAAAAATCACTTCGTTTTACCGTATGACATTTTCAAGGACTGTATACAAAGAAACACATTAAAATGTCATATATTGTTATTTTTTTATAAAGGGCACTAATAAAAACAAAAAATATACACATAAATGTACACAAAAAATGCTATATTTAATTTGTCCTTTCTTTTTTATTTTTTTACTTTTTTGAAATTCTAACTGACCCAGATGTACAGTTAATGTAAGTTAATGATGTAATTTTACCACAGGACTTCAGTAATATCAATAGCCAAATCGCATGTGATTAGATATACTGTAGGTTATCAATAAAACTAGAAGTTGAAGGGGTAACTCAATTTGCGCATCGCTGTCATTACATTGTATTACATTGATTCCTGATATCATGTGTGCAACAAACACAAATAACCTATACAACAGGGCAGTTGAATGCTTATCTGATAACCTAGAAGCTCTTGTAGTTACAGTATTACTTTAACAGTTACCCCACCTCTCCATGCCGGGTGAAAACCGGCTAATGCAGTAAACAACATTTCACAACGATTTCAATACAGTAATAGCAAATATCCTTGCTCCTTCTCGATTATCTGTTAATATTCTATTCACAAAATACAACCAATAGTACGGTAATGTTAAGACTTACTTGTGAAAAGCCCTATTTTCGGTGGTCCGGCGATTAGAACAGGAAAATGCTCCAGAATCCTCTGGCATCTCATCTGCTGCCACTCAACGAAACGTCTCGGTTACGGATGTAACCTTCGTTTCCTGAGTAGGGAACGGAAACGTTACGTCAGAAGTGACGGAGAATGGGGGTTTCGCATAGAAAGCCAATCCTCTTCGAGTATTTAAAAACGAGCCAATGGCATTAAAATGCCTTGGGGCTGCGGAATTTGCATAGCGTATCTCCGCCCCACGCCGTGGGTATAAAAGGAGGAAGTGAACGCAACCGCAGTATGTCTTCGCTGAGGAGCCAAGACTGAACTCCGGCGTCTACCCAGCGATACAGCCGAAGTGGCAGGGAGACGTAACGTCTCCGTTCCCTACTCAGGGAACGAGGGTTACATCCGTAACCGTGACGTTCCCTTTCTTAGTCACTTCGAGTTACGTCAGAAGTGACGGAGAATGGGGGTCAGTGCCATCACGCCATCTTCAAGCTGTCTTTCAGTGCCCTGCGAAAGTCTGGACCCCTGAACATAGCTTATAACCAGGGATCCTACTTTGACACAGGAATACCAAGGTACACTGGGAAACATATCCCGGGAGGGACATGCTACCAGATGCCTACCGAAGGAGGACTTACAAATACACATATGGCCGCATAGGGACACATATGGAGATCACTGGAGGACCAACCGCAGGTGGCTACTAGAATTTAACTCCAGGGGTGGCAGATGGCTTGCCAAGGGAAGACACATGCTCCTTACAGTGGATAATACACATGAGACAGTTGCCGTAGGGAACCATGCACATGGAGGCACCTAGCCGGCATCCAGAGCAACAGCAGTGGTGCCCGCATCGTAGATGCTGGAAGAATCAAGGCTTCAACGGAAGACTACTGAGGAATATCGCACTTATACAGTCAGAGGAGTGGAATGGCGAGCAAGCGAAGACACCTAAGCGGGTCCAGTACTGGCGGAAGCGAGTACGTGAGAGGACACCGGCTCAATTCGCAGATTATAGAATCTCGCGAAGGTGTTTGGTGTCGCCCAGCCTGCAGCTCTGCAAATGTCTGTTAGCGAGGCGCCATGTGCTAGAGCCCAAGAGGAAGCCACGCTCCGAGTGGAGTGGGCCGTCACACCAAGGGGGCACGGTCGGCCTTGCTGGTGGTAAGACAAAGCAATGGCGTCCACTAACCAGTGACAGACAAAGAGCTGGTCTGAGGTCCTGAAACACCGCGTTCTGTCAACGTAGGTGCGGAGTGCACGTACCGGACAGAGCAGTGCCAAGGCTGGGTCTGCCTCCTCCAGGGGCAGCGCTTGCAGGTTCACCACCTGGTCCCGGAAGGGAGTGGCGGGAACCTTGGGCACGTATCGGTCTGAAGATCACGTGAGAGTAAGCCGGCCCGAACTCCAGGCACGCTTCGTCAACGGAGAATGCGTGCTGGTCCCCCACCCTCTTGATGGAGGCCAGTGCAACCAGGAGTGCTGTCTTCATGGACAGAAACTTTAACTCTACCGATTGCAAAGGCTCAAAGGGAGGCCTCTGCAGAGCACTTAGAACTACTGAGAGGTCCCAAGAGGGTACGAGGGGAGGACGAGGCGGATGTAGCCTCCTCGCTCCTCTCAGGAACCTGATGACCAGGTCGTGCTTCCCTAAGGACTTACCTTCAATTGCGTCATGAGACGCGGCAATGGCGTAAACCTTAAGGGTGGAGGGCGACAGCCTGCGCTCCAACCCTTCTTGCAGGAAGGAAAGCACGACACCGATTGAATATCTCCGGGGGTCTTCTCCGCGAGAAGAGCACCATCTGACGAAGAGGTTCCACTTCAACGCATAAAGGTGTCTTGTGGACGACGCTCTAGCGGAAGTGATGGTTGCCGCCACCGCAGGTGGCAGCGAACTCAAACCTGCCTCGTCCCGTCCAGGAGCCACACGTGTAGCCTCCAGAGATCGGGACAGAAACTTTAACTATACCGATTGCAAAGGCTCAAAGGGAGGCCTCTGCAGAGCACTTAGAACTACTGAGAGGTCCCAAGAGGGTACGAGGGGAGGACGAGGCGGATGTAGCCTCCTCGCTCCTCTCAGGAACCTGATGACCAGGTCGTGCTTCCCTAAGGACTTACCTTCAATTGCGTCATGAGACGCGGCAATGGCCGCGACGTAAACCTTAAGGGTGGATGGCGACAGCCTGCGCTCCAACCCTTCTTGCAGGAAGGAAAGCACGACACCGATTGAATATCTCCGGGGGTCTTCTCCGCGAGAAGAGCACCAGCTGACGAAGAGGTTCCACTTCAACGCACAAAGGTGTCTCGTGGACGACGCTCTAGCGGAAGTGATGGTTTCCGCCACCGCAGGTGGCAGCGAACTCAAACCTGCCTCGTCCCGTCCAGGAGCCACACGTGTAGCCTCCAGAGATCGGGACGAGGGTGCCACAGAGTGCCCCGTCTCTGAGTGAGTAGATCTTGTCTCAGAGGAATAGGCATGAGTTCGGAGAACCACGTCTTGGTGGGCCAATAAGGGGCTACCAGCAAGACCTGCTCCTCGGCTCACTGGGGGAAACGCATACTTGCGTGGGCCCCGCGGCCAGCTGTGCACCAGTGCATCTGTGCCGAGCGTGCCCTCGGTCAGGGAATAAAACTGGCCGCAGTGGGATGAGTCCCGGGAGGCGAACAGATATATCTGTGCCTCCCCGAACTGGTCCCAAATCAGCTGGACCGTCTGGGGAGGGAGTCGCCATTCGCCGGAGATGGGGCGGACCCGTGACAGCTCGTCGGCTGCCAGGTTCCGGTCTCCTGGAATGTATACTGCACAAAGGGACCTGAGGTGCTTCTGACTCCATAACAGGAGGTGGCGGGTGAGCTGCAACAACCGGCGTGAGCGAAGACCACCCTGGTGGTTGATGTACGCTACTGCAGCGGTGTTGTCTGAACAGACAAGTACGTGTTGACCCCTGAGCACTGCTCGAAAGCGGTGCAGGGCCAGGCGTACTGCCAGCAGCTCGAGGCAATTGATGTGCATGAGGCGCTGGGGTCCTGTCCAGGAACCCGCGGCTGCATTCCCATTGCACATGGCACCCCAACCCGTGGTAGATCAGTCCCTTCAGGATTTCGCGGGCCTTTTTTGTGATTGTTGCGGCCTAAAATGCCTGATGTTGCGGCCGCTTTTTTAAAAAGTTGCGATAAAAGTTGCGATGTTCTTCTGCATGTTTTTATAGGTTAAAACGGCAAAGATAGATAGATTTTTACTTAAAATGCCCATATTATGCTTTTTGGCTTTTCCCCTTTCCTTTATTGTGTTGTTATATTTTTTTGTGCATGTTATAGGTTTACTAAGAGAGAAAAGTCCAAAGTCCACCCCAAAGGGACTTATTATGTCCCACAGAAAACACTGTTCATCATCTGCATCTGCTCTATTGTAGTCCAGAATTGACTTAAGAGAAAAAGTCACACACTTTGTAACACACGAACAAACTAACTAACCATTAGTAACCATAAAAGGCAAAACAAACGATTTAAAGACACAGCAAAACCTAACAAACTAAGCTTCTTTTTTTTTTTTTTTAAAAACAAGATCTGCACCTGCAAAAAAGTCAATGTGCAGAACCTCACAAACATTAAGCAGCATTTATGTTGAAAGATGCCAATACTAATAAAGTGCAAAATACAGTTTTAGGAATAGCCACTAAAGTTAAATGGTGGAAAAACCAAATGTTTGATAATGTATTTTAATATAGCTAATATAATATAATATAGCCGCATATCCAATAAAGCTGTTCTCATTTGCTTAATTTTTTTTTGTCAGACAATAGAACGAGTCGGCTAGCTATTTTTTATGTGTAAAATTTTCTGAATTGAGAGAGTTCGGGAACTGGGTGAACTAATGCACTGTGATAGTGAGTAGCCTATTACAAGTGATAAACACAAGAAAAGAAAGGAAAATAAAATGGTCAAACTCAATTCTTTAAATATGAAACAAAAGAGAAGCAGATAAGTGATAAGTCCATGGAAACAACACTGCTCATTCGCGTCTGTCAGCTGCCAGGGAGAAAGCAAACCTCGCGCTCGCAGGATTGTGCTGGCAATATTTGGTTACTGAGGTTTGTCCAAAAAGCCGCTAGATTTGTCTCTAGTCGCTTTTTTATATCACTAAATATAGCGACAAAGACTTAGTTGGCAACATTGGCCTTTTCTGTTATTTTTGTAGGTAGCCTAAATGTGAGACGTTGGCAGTCCACATCTGCTGCGTCTTCTGAACAAAACAAGTGAGTTTGCTGACGTATGACGACCCTTTGCAGGAGACCGCGGCGCGATGATTCGTCAAAGTTGCAGAAAAGTTGCGGTGATTTTTCAAAATTGCAAGGCGCACTGAATTCACGTGGATTTGTTGAAGTTGCGTTAATAGTTGCGATCGCGACATCGCGAAATCCTGGAGGGACTGGTAGATGCATCCGTGGAGACAGCGAGATGCCTGGAAACTCGCTGAAGAGGGACAGGTTCGACCACGGGAAGAAGGTTTGGCGGCACGCTGGAGTCACTGGAACTCGGAGCGAGCCGCGATGCCATGCCCACCTCGGGACTCGATCGCAAAGCCACAGCTGAAGCGGTCTCATATGAAGCAATCCGAGCGGCGTTGCCGCGGCTGCGGATGCCATATGCCCCAGGAGCCTCTGAAAAAGTTTCAGTGGAACTGCACTCTTGCCCTCGAACTGTCGAAGACAAGTCAGCAGTGAGTGCGCACGCTCGTTCGTGAGCTGCGCGGACATGGCGACCGAGTCTATCTCCATGCCGAGAAAAGATCCTCTGCACGGGGCAAAGTTTGCTCTTCTCCGGGTTGACCCGAAGGCCCAGACGGGCTAGGTGCCGGAGCACCAGGTCTCTGTGTTCGCAAACCTGTTCTCGAGAGTGTGCCAGTATCAGCCAGTCGTCGAGATAATTCAGGATGCGAACCCCGTGTTCGCAAAGGTGAACAAGTGCTGCCTCGACGATCTTCGTGAAGACGCGAGGAGACAGAGCTAACCCGAATGGGAGAGCCGCGTACTGATATGCCTGGCCCTCGAAAGCAAACCGAAGA